ATTTTTTTTTTTTTTTTTTAATCACTTCTGTATGCAGTAGTTGTGAACGATATTCATTTTGACGTGATGGCGCTCATTACTGCATGTCGCAATAGTAATTTAAACAAACATATGTATACTATAGGTAACGATATGTTTTATATATATATTAAAAAATGTGCATATGATATACCAAAATACAAAAACTAGACACGTGACAGGCGGATTGTGTTCGCTGAAACGATTGGGCACCGACAATTATTATCGTACTTAGCATTTCAAACGAGCCATGTTAATTTCTATTTCCGACTGTTACGTTCGAACATCTCTTAGGCAAATCTAAACGACGTTATTATTCAGTAAGAGAAAAATAAATTATTTCGTAAGCAATGGTTTATTGTTGCTTATAGGTTTACATTAAATTACCTATAACAGTGGCTGCATCCGTTCCCATTATCTTAGAACGTCTTTTTTAAATTTGTATTTGAACAGTCAATAGTATATAATAAAATAAACTATGAATTATTATGTTTATGGATACCATTATTTTCTAATAAAAATTACTCATAATTTTAAACAAGTTACAGTCAACAATTTTTCAGACAAATTAAAGTGTAGGCATAATATTTTTTATAAGTGAACATATTTGTTTCGTTTAATGAATTACACATATTTTATATGAAAAAGTAGGTATTTTATTTAAATTAAAATGTTTTTACGATCACTCTTGAACAGTTAAATATAATCGCGTTTATTTATTATAAGCTTTAAAATCTTTGCTGAATTAAATTCAATTTATTTTTCAGAATAGAACTACAAGTACAACTTCAAATATATTTTTTTAGTTTAAAATCGTTATTGATTTTATTTTTTCCATGTTTCTATTAAAATAATTATTATGTTTTATATTATATACAATAATAATTCAATGTGAATTATTATTTTTTGTTTAAAATGTTATTTGATCGTAGACGAATTAATTCAGTGTGTTTTTAAGTTTAATTCAAATAATACAAAATAATAATAATACAATTGTTTGAATTTGTTAAGCCATTTTATATTGTACATAAGCTCGAACGGTTTAAATATTTATTCGTAATAATATTACATTTAATATTTCTTGTTTAATTGAAAAATAATATTAATTATAGAGTAACGATTTTTAATTTAATTCAGTAGATATATTTATTTATAAATTCTTTATTCTAGGTAGAATAATAACCAGACTTGGGTAAAATACTTTACAACACTAATATTAGGAATATTTTTTATCTATAAAAAAAAAAAGAGAGTCAATCTGCTGTCGTATGTGCCATTGTTCTAGGAGTGAACTCATTGAAAATCAGTGATTTCTGAGAAACAATAAAAAAATAACGGGTGAAGGTTAAAGGGGGATGAACTTTTAGGAACTTTCTAAAAATGTTTTTAATCAAGTATCATCGCGAATGCAATTTCGAATCTTTTAGAATAATATGTACAAAAGTCAGATTTTTTTTACTAACCTAAACAGTGTTTACCGAGAAAAAATAGAAAAAGCATCGTATTGTAAAATATTAAACATTTTAAAACGAGAGCGATATAAAATATTGTATTTTTAAGAAATAAAACACTTTTCAAAACTATTGTGAACATACAGTATTGAATACTTCCGAAAGAAATTATTTTGAAAATACTCAGAATACTTAAAAACTATTCTGAATTCAATATTCAAAATACTTTATTTGGAATTCTACCTAATATGTCTAATACGAACCAAAAATTATGTAAGTAAAGAGTGCACCTATGCGTTATTAATATTATTTAGGTTTATTCGCGGTTTGCGGGAGCAAATCTTATTGCCGACGACGTCTGCAGTGACGGTAATTGATTATAAAACGGAAACCCAATTCTTATCAAAATATTTTTTAAGTTTATAATTAATAGTTTCGCAGGACGTCCTTCGGCGTTGAACCGTGTTTTGTAAACCGCAATATCGGCATTTCCCCAGTGACTGAAGTGTTTTAAACGTTGACGGTCCCTAATCATTAATCAAGATACGAAAAAAAATAAAAAGGATAGCGCCACGCCTTTGCAAATGTTCTGACATGCAATACCTAAACTAATTTACTTGTTTGACTCGGGAATATAGTGACAAAATAAGAGAGGAAACGGGGGACAAAAAAAAAAATTGTAGTAGTAATAATAATAAAACGAAATTATTGTTGTAAAAACAGTAAAAAAAAAATTATCATTATTATTTTTAAATACAAAAAAAAAAAAACACTATAGAATTATTATACGGTAGGTATACGCTATATACGTGTATATTTTGAATGGCATGACATTTTTTTTTTTTTTATAGATGTCGGTCGCGCAGAATGTGTACTAGCATGGAAAATTGCACGACAACGGCCATCATTTATATCGCGGATCATAAATATTACTAATCGAGTGACGCTGCGCACGATAATATAATTCAGTTAACGGATGAATTTGTTCACGTCCAGATGGACACGCGTATCGCATAAAACACGTTTGTTATTTTATTGGTTAAAATTAAAATAGAGATTTATCATTTTAAATAAATAAAACGACTATCCGTGTACGTGTATGTGTACGTTATACTTATAGTGTACGTATAATAATAATTAATAATAAATAATATTGGAACGGTGGCGCATAATATAACACGTATCGTAAGGCCACGTGCCTAGGTACATACGCGCGCCATAAAATATTTCATATTTAACGAGAATCGATCAATATTAAAACACCGACAGAAATTCAATAATACGCGTCCGTGCGACCGCACGTCATTTTAAGTCGGCGACGGGATTATCGCGAATCGCGTTCGATTGTACTTAAAAAGTAGATTTCGTACGGCTATATCATTACGGGTACGCGCGATTTGATAAAGCGTATTATCACAAAAATAAAAACTATCGGGAATCATATATGCCGGAAATTGCTGTAGTTGTCATCAGAAACGTGATTATAAGTAGAGAACGGATTTAACTGTAAATACATATTTCCATTGAAATTGGATATTTTTAATCAGTTAAAAAATGATTACAATTTAGATCATTCTAATTGAAATAAGTCCAAATTTATATTACATATTTTTACATAATGCATTTGGTAAATAAGTACATATTTGTAAATATTTAAGTAATTTTTATTTTTCTCCGATTTTTCAGTGATTTTCGACGACAGATAACATTATATGCTTTATAGTCTAAGCGGTCGGTAAGTTTAATAGGTAAAAAAAACCTAAAACAAATTAATCTAATGATAAGTGAATATTGTCGCATGGGACGGAAGAAGAACAGGGCACACTGGACATTTCGTCCAGGGCCTCGCGTCAATAGATCCTCAAGCAAAACTTCTTTTGATTTTAGCCGAAGACCACATTTACGTCATGTTTACTATATATAATATATATTTATATAATTATATAATTAGTAAAAATGTTCAGATTTTACATTTGCATTGCGTAGGTAATCAAAATTACATCTGAAAATTTAAAGAAAAATAAAAACTGCGGTTTGTCCGTCTTTGTACTTTGTTACACACACACACACACACACACACATCGTATAGGAAGTTAGACGTACCGATTAATGTTAGTGAAGCAATCAGAACAATGAAAACAGATACTTTGATTTGTTCGTATTCTCGACTTTTCCAAATTTTTGATCACTTGTATCGAAAAATTAAAATATTTTCTTCTTCTAAAGCTTTACGGTCCATTCAGGACCAGCACTGCCATCAAAATCTCTCTCTATCTATCTCTATGATACACTGTCTGTAAGGTTACGTTCTGGTCTATTATTACTAGATCTTTGGGAACTATGTCAATCAACCGGTTTTTGGGTCATCTTAGTGGTCTCGTTTTATTTGTTCTGTTAACTAGTACATTTTTAATTAGCTGCCCATCCACTTTTTATGCATGTTCGAATCATTCCAGTAGTTTTCTCCCAATAAAAAAAAGTATGCAAGACCCTTTGTAAAACCTTTTATATTTTCATCACTTCTTCTTTCTTATGTCTGTATTTCGGGATTAAAGATTAGTCCATACATGGCTCGTAACACTTACCGTTCGAACGTGATACGTCTTCTACTACACCTTTGGTCAATGACCAGGTTTCACAATCCTACGTTATTACCGGTCGAAGGTAACTATGATTTTAAGTAGTTTTGATTCTCTAGATAACAGCTTAGATCTCAGGAGTTTAATAATACTGAAATAACAAATAACGAGTTTATATTGATAATATAATATTAAACTAGACGTGGCAGGTAGAGATGTATAGCCAGGTACGCGTAATTAGGGAGGGAGCTTTGTGTGCTTAGCATCTTTAGTTTTAAAATTAGTACTCTCGAAAATGTATCATGTTATTGTAAAGAAAGTATAGTCTACTAAAAGGAAAATGATTAAAATAATAATAATGGTTTCTAATTTTCTATTCGTTTTCTGAGTATCCCTGTTTTTATAACATAATATCTAAGGCAATATTAGAATGATATAATTTTTTTATTTATGAAACAGTTTTTCCGATGTTTTGTTATCTTTTATAGATTATTATTAGCCACAGTCTATATACCAAAAAAGTATACTGATCAACGATCAACCATTGTTAACAAAGTTCGGTGACATATTTTGAAATGCCGTAATTATTATGATTTTGGTCAAAATCTGATCTTAAAATGCTGTTGAAAACTAACGCATTAAACTCAAATTTGTTTTTTTAAATCACTAACCACAATTTATAATGTTCCTAGTGTTAAATTTGCTAACATTTCTGTTTAGTTCAGTCCAGTCCCAGAAGACAGTTGCCGTAATATTTCTGGCAGATCTCTTAAAATTTTCTGGTTTTTTTTTTGGGGGGGGGATGATAAATTCATAGATTATTGTTTCGACTCTGGTGTGATGTGGTAAACCCATATTTCATCCCCTGCCACTATTTTGAGTTCGAAAATGCCACTCCTTCAGCGAACAGCTCTAAAACCTAATGGGAAGTTTCGATGCGTTAACGTTTGTGATGGAGGACGCTGACGAGGTTTACTCGCTCATATTATTCGCGTGCCATGCAAGTACTAAACGTCAGATCCGGACAGTTCAAATTTTCTTAGAAAGAGAAGAAACTAATGGTTACAGCAGTGATACCAACTTAGAAAAACAAAACTTATCTTGGCCGCTAGGAACTTGGACACCTTACTTTTGGGACAAGGCTCATAGATGAGTAAATTATTTGTTACAAAACGACAAAGATTCTATGGTACTTCATTCAAAGATTATTTTAGATTTTTTATGAATCAATCACTGAGCAACTTTTCTACATATTTTAATTTATTTTATCAACCAATAGTTAATAGGTATAGTACAATAGAAGAGTATGAGTAGGACCTATTATATTTTATTGATCTCTGGTTTGTATGAACTAGGTTTTTTTTCCTAAGGGACTTCAGTATCCTTAATTTTTTAACTTAAATTGTGCCCCTGGGTATAGGTAAATACAAAAGTGTCTGTATTTAGACATATTTCTGCCGTTTCTGCACTGTTCATCTGTAAATTTAAGGTTATTCGCTGTCGCCGATCGGATTCAATTATTATAATAATACGTGTACCTAATACCTATGCATATTTCCAACAATATTTTAGTGCAATAAATAATATGTTTTGAATGCGTTCACTATAGGTTTCTTAATTTGAATAAAAATTTCATTTTTAAATTAAATTTTTCAAGTTAATGTATTACCCTTTACTTTTTCCATAATATTATGTAATAATATATTAAATGAGTAATATGTGTTGCAATATGGCATGTGGTGTTTACATGCATAGTATAATATTATACCATAACAGTAGAAATTCGTACTTATTAATTATTAAAATGCTACGGCCACTGTGTGCAATACCAGCGTATATTCAATTATACTATTACAGCAATTTTATTATTCAGTCGAATTCATCTATTTAATATGGTATTAATACCACGGGGCACATATAAAACGGTTCCAATTGTTATAGAGCTTTGCAGCGAAATAATATTTTCCGACGTAGTATTTTGATTTGTTTATACTGATCCAGAGGATTATGTACGTAGATTTTGAATAAATATAATTGGTTTTGATTTTTTTAATCTAGGGTATTGTCATGCGTCAGAAACATTTAACGTTTGGTTTTGGTCACAAATATAAAATTACATAATCAAAAAACAAAACAAAGTGGTCAAATAATCCTAATTTCGCTAAAATCTGACATTGGCCAATCATATACAAAGCCACAGATTTATATTTTTGAATACTTAAAATGATTATTAATGTATACACCTATAACACAATAAATTATATTTTTATTGCGGTGGGAGGAGGGGGCTAACGAGACGTACGTTTAATTTATCATTTAAAAATTACACTTAATATTTTAAAATTTATACTTGAGTCGTAAAGAATTATTAAAGCATTATTATCTAAAAATGAATATCAAATGTGTTGCATATATGTTACCCTTCCAAACCGCTCTGGTCAACATTTTAAACTGTAATAAACGTATAATAAAATCATAAACGATATTTCTGACATAAGTGTTATGCATATCAACCATTTTTAGAAAATTATTCTTTATTCCAATCTATGTTGATGTGGGGATATTGAAAATAGTATCAAACCTAAAACTTAAAAAATTACTTAATGATTAAAAAAATTAATTTACTTAAAATCTTCCAAGAATATCGGTGGGTCATGAGAAATAAATCGCTCTGTAATCCAGTGGTGGATTCAGGATTTAATTTTGGGGGAGATAGTCCAAAATTCAGTGATACATTACATATAACATATATGATTATTGAATTAATAAAAGTTAATTTAAGCGAATGGGGGGAAGGGGGGGGGGGTGGAAGCAAGGGCCCCATTCTTAAATCCGCCAATGCTGTAGTCTGTACACGGAATCATATGTGTATAACTGTATACATTATGGAACATTGCAGTGTTATCCCGAAATAATAATGCAATAGTATTATCTCTCAGTGACGTGTTAACGGCGTGGTACCGTTTTTGCAGTTGTTCGTTTAAACATTTGCTCGCAGAACCGTATTACGACGGCACGTAGTATATTGTCTGTATAACCCAACTTTATTGCACTGCGATTCGCTTGTGAACTAATATTTTCCGTAGACTAAACTCCGAATGAAATCATTAAGATATATACAGGGTGTCCCACGAGAATTCGACAAATGCAATTACTGTTGTTCCATTCAATATTTTTGATATACATTTTTTTTTTAAATAATTAGTATGCCTTAACGCTACAGTGTATGCATGAATATTTTTTTTTTAGAGGGAAGGGGACCTAAACTAAAAAAAATTAAAATTTGACTATATGTTTTTTTTAAAAAAATTAAAATTAGCCATTTTGTAAAATAGATATTTAGAAAATTTTTGGTGGTTGAAACTTTTATTAAAGTATAGTCTTTTATTTTCTAAGATTTTTTGAAAATTTGAATAATTTTCTTTTCAATCTTAACAATTTTGTTTATCAACATAAATTATTATTATTGGTTGATTGGAACTACCTCAAAACTATATTATTATAGTTTTATTGCATGATATTATCTTGTGGAAAAGAAAATCCTGACTATTAACTAATAACTGAATAACCGCAAAAGATAATATTCACATTTGCAAAAACTTCAAAAAATCGTAGAAAATGAAAAACCATATTTTAACAAAAGTTGCAATCACTAATAATTTTCTAAAAATCTATTTTACAGAATGGCTATTTTAAATTTAAAATACTACTCCCTAAAAAAAAAATGTTTATACATAAACTATTACACTAAGGCATACCTATTATTTAAAAAATATATATATATCAAAATTATTGAATAGAACAAAAGTTATTGCATTTAACGAATCCTCGTGAGTCACCTTGTATAAGAGAGGAAATCATATTATCATCGGACGTTCGGACGTGACAAATGGGTGACGTGAGATTCGTAACCTGTCCGCCGATTTCGCGAAATTTTATTTATCCATCATAATAATAATGGCATATTACGTATTACTATTTGTTTGGTTTAGATTCTGAGTGAAACGAGTTATTTTTACTAGGTATGTATTTTTTTTCTACCTTTAAACATTTTACCGTAATATTACTTTAATCGAAATATGTCAAGAAATATTTTCAATCTAATCGATGAGTGAGAAAGTTATTTTCCATGTAATTTTCTTAATAACTGTAGAAAACCTGGAAAAACGGAAAAGTTTAAGGAAATAACGGTTTTATTATTTTCAATTTTGCTTTTTGTTGTGATTCAGTTCAATTGATTCGTTTTCTAGATATGGTAAAATTTTTAAAACATTTTGGTAAATGTTGAGCTATTTAAACATTTTATGATTGCGAGTTTTTTTACGTTGTTTTTATTTGGTATAAACACTACGTGAATATAAATGTTTGACCAAACAGAAATTCTGAAAAATATAATACTTCGTTATAAAAAGAAAACACGTAGTCATTTTTTTTTTATAATGATTTAAGATCGTTAGCAATAGTTAGCAATAGTTTATCGTTGCTTACAGATAACAATAAAATATAATAATATATATAATAAAGATAATTTGTGGTAGTTTTTTGATATTCTCAGGTGATTTCTCGATATATTGGAAAATCCGGAAAAAAAAAACGGGAAAATGTAGTAAATGGTTAATCGTTACGTACGTTACATTAAATTTCTCTTAGACTACCTTCCTAGCTTCTCACTTAAAACGGTGGTCGCATCCGTCCTCACTATCCTAGGATAGCTTTTTTTGGTTTTATTTTCAGTACACTTTTTCACCAGTACTTTTTTATTAGTATCTACTATAACAACGCATATTCATTTTTTTTTTTTTTTTATAAGTCAATAATAAATTATTTGACCTACTACATAACTGAACATGTTTTTATATAAATATACTACTATACCATATAATTTGTATGTGACATGTGTAGTAGCCCAAAAGTTTTAAACGAGGGGTCGAAAAAACTATTTTATAACAATTCATCTCCTGGAGTTACCGTTTAAAGAATTGTTAAGAAAACTTAAAAATAATGTGAGAGTGAGAATTGTCAAGTACCATTAACGATCGTAAATTTAATACAAAGTTTTCCATATGAGTTACAATTTTCTTTTTATACAAGAGTTTGAAGTTGACATTAAAAAAAAAAAAAAAAAATGTAAAAACAAATACAAATTTAAATTTAACAAAAACAAAGTTTTACAGGACTCTACTTGAAATCTATTTTGTTCGGTATTTTGTTTTCAATAATTTATCAGTTGCATTCAGAATTTAAACTAAAAATTATCGTACACGTATTTCCTATAAGTTTCCAACTTCCCAGCTACTGTTAGTGGAGCTTACGCCTAATCAAATAAATGAAATAATAAAATATAAATCGAAGAAACAAATACATTTTACGTATAAACGCTAACAACTTCATTAGCTCTTTTAAATTCTAAATGGAGTGAAGAAATTTACGGTTTTACAGAGATGTTTTTTTGTTTTATCTGTTAATAACTTTTCTAGCAGAAGACTAGGATTTCTAAGTGTAGAACTTTTTCTGAAATGAAATCGGTGTGGGAAGGTACTTTTAGGAGGTCGTTTTTGATTTTCTCAAGAGTTTTCTCATAAAATTTGAAAAACCAAAAATAAATATCAGAAAAATGTACGAAATATATTACTAAAATCTGACTATTTTTTTTCCCTGAGAACAACTTTTCCACCAGTAATTTTGCTCAAAGTTTTAATTATAGCAGTGTTTTTAGACAGAAATTTCACTAGGGAGGTACTTTCAAGATGTAATTTTTCGATTTTCTCAGGAGTTTTCCCAACAAATGTGAAAAACTGGGATAAACATGGTAAAACCGGGAAAAACGTAGAAAAATTAGGAAAAATCAGTACAACATTAAACTAGCATTATTAAAAAAAAAATATATAAAGCCTATTTAATTATTTTGCTATAAAATGGCATATTGTTGACAAAACATCACTATCAATCGAACTCTGCTCAGAATCGTTGTTTTGTGAACAATGGTTTATCGCTACTTACCAGTATACTTTTAAGTATACTTACAAGTCTTCTTTTTTTTTTTTGTTAATTCGTTTTATTTGTACAAAGTTTGGACACAAGAATTGCAAAATGTTCCTATTTTTTTTTAATATTTATTATTCATGCGGTCATGGAATATTACGTCTATTGCAT